ATCACATCAGTATAGAGCTCTGCATAATGTTATAAAATCATCTTACATTCATTAAACACACATTTTTATTTTACAATTACCGTTTTTCCACTTCTTGGTCCTCTTGGGCATTGGTGATGTAATCTGTGCTCAAGTGATGCATCCTTGGATGATTACATATGAGATTTCCTAGCAATGCACTACTGGTGTCATCTCACAAGATCTCAGGGTTGTCACAATTCCCTGGTATCCATGCCAGATTTTCCCTCGTGTCCAGCCTCTATGGCTGATTTTCCCCTATGTCTTATGCCTGGCTGTCAGCCTAGGAGGCTTAACAGGGCTCCAGCCAGTCTTTGTACTTCCTCCCCTATTTAGCTTTTTCTCACTTGTTGCCCTGGGTTTGAGCAACGAGTCTGTTCTCTCTTGCCGGACCCTCCACGATTCCTGGTTTCCTGGTGTTCCCCCCGTGGATTCCATGCGTGGCCTTTTCCCTCCTTGCTGTTCCTTGTATCCCCGCTTTCTCTTAGTCTCCTGTGAGGTGTGAGTGACCTTGCTTGTCTATGTGATTTCTGTTTCTGCTTGTATATGCCTTCTCCCCAGTGTGTCTGCTTACCTTCTCAGCCCGGCGCTCTCTGTGTATCCTGTACCTTAGTGCCTGTTGTGCTATCCTGCACTTCTGTATATGCATGTTCTCCTGTACAACTGTGCTTTGTATGTTCCTTGTAATTGTATCCTGTTCCCTGTGTATGCACACTCCCTGTACATAGTAACCACTTTGCTCTGCACACTATCTGGGTATCCTGTACTCCTGTGTTTGCACTATGTAGCACATTCCCCTGAGCATTCCTGCTACTATACCCTGCATCACACAATCCCTGTGTCCCCCCCTGTATGCACTTTCCAGTGCAGCCTACCCAGTTTCTGGTGTCACGTATTCTGTGTGGTTTCAGTCCCCTCTGCCCCCTGGGTGTTGTACTTTCCAATGTACTCTGCTTCAGTGTTTCTTACCTTTGTGTTGGGTTACTCTTCCAGGTGTGCCCCTGCTGCACCCTGCTTGTCAGAGTCCTGTTCCCCTGTGCTGTTCCCGTTGTAGTGGGTCAGTCGTGTTTGCACGGGTGTGTCAGAGGGCCGCAACCTGGGTGCTGCCCTGCCGCACAATCATCCACACCATTGGAGGCTCTGTATAAAACCAGGCTCTCCTTAGCCAATGTTTCGGGGCCACGTAGAACCTGAGCCCCTTCTTCCAGGTGACACAGTGACTCTCAATGCAAACAGGAGGGGATTTTTTTTTTTTTTTCCCCGTACAGCCCACAGGTTAATAAAAAAAAATAGAACCTTGTATATCCGACATAACATTGAAAAAAGAGGCATGGTGGTTAAGTTTTAACTTTATAGCTTTATAATTAACTACTTAAACAGTAACAGCCTCTTCTCCCCCGGGCTCTGGCGGGCTAAGCCCAGCTGACGTCATCACGTCTATGCAAGGTCCATTCACTTGCATTCGGCGTGAAGATGAGGAGGCACAAGGGTAGCCCCATTGCAAGAGCTAATGTTTGAAAATCCTGGAGATCTGCTTTAATCCTTTTTATACTTCATATACAGTACATACAATATCATGATATACTTACTTTTTCTTAAAGGTAAGTAATTTGTTGTGCTGGACGATGCAGTCTTCATTGTTGGACATTTGCTGCAAAATGTTTTGACCGGATTTCCCTTCAAAAATCATATTTTCCTGTACAAGTCCTTTAGTTTGGTCAATTAGAGCTATACCATAGTCATGAAGTGACTGAATTCGGTTCCGGGTCACCTACAGAGCAGAAGCAAGCTGTTAGTATTTGACTGAAGGCAGTAGTATGAAGAGGAAGCTGTATGGTGTATAATTACAAGCCTGACACAGGGTCTGAAAGAAGCCTCCTCTATTTATCCACACATAGGGCACCATTTCCATTATATCCAAATCTCCCAATCAATACAGAAATATATTCACAAGCTTAAAAATCATCTAAAATTATATATTATCCCGTTGTACAGCAAATTGACTAATAACAATGCACTCCCTGCTACCACTACTGATCTCAATATTTAATACAATATGCATATACACTATATTGCCAAAAGTATTGGGACACCCCTCGAAATCATTGGATTCAGGTGTTCCAATCACCTCCATGGCCACAGGTGTATAAAATCCAGCACCTAGGCATGCAGACTGCTTCTACAAACATGTGTGAAAGAATGGGTCGCTCTCAGGAGCTCAGTGGATTCAAGCGTGGTACCGTGATAGGTTGCCAGCTGTGCAATAAGTCCATCCGTGACATTTCCTTGCTACTAAATATTCCACGGTCAACTGTTAGTGGTATTATAACAAAGTGGAAGCAACTGGGAACAACAGCAACTCAGCCACGATGTGGTAGGCCACCTAATATGACAGAGCGGGGTCAGCGCATGCTGAAGTGCACAGAAGTCGCCAACTGTCTGCAGAGTCAATAGCTACAGACCTCCAAATTTCGTGTGGCCTTCAGATTGGCACAACAACAGTGCATAGAGAGCTTCATGGAATGGGTTTCCATGGCCGAGCAGCTGCATCCAAGCCTTACATCACCAAGTGCAATGCAAAGCGTCGGATGCAGTGGTGTAAAGCACACCGTCACTGGACTCTAGAGAAGTGGAGACGTGTTCTCTGGAGTGACGAATCACACTTCTCTGTCTGGGAATCCGATGAACATAACTACGGACTAAGACTGGGATGCCATTAAAGTTCATGTGCATAAAGGCAGGCGTCCCAATACTTTTGGTAATATGTGTATATGGAATAGAAAAGTTAGTAATGTCAAAACTCACTTAAAAAAGGTAAATATTGCAATAATGCATTATAAAATACAGTATGTACTCACTTATAATACAATATACTTCTCATTAAATGTCTAATAATCATATAATGTAATATACCCTAAAATTCACACGTTACTGCAACGCACCATGCAAGCTGGAGTGCACTGCGATGGGCATTATGTGCTTTACAAATGCAGCAAGAAGTGGGTTGAATTCACAGAACTGTAATCATAATGAGGGGAATTTATCAAATGTAGAGCAGATGTGCATGGTAACCAATCAGCTTCTCTCTTTCATTTTCAAATCTTAACTGAACAAACTGAATAGAGAAGCCGATTGGTTGCCATGCACAGCTGCTCCAGATTGTGTCTGCTCCAGTTTTGATAAATTCCCACCAATGTCATTAGTACGCAATACTGATCCTCATTTAGCTGCCTTTATCTATAGTTCAGTTCTCCTACTTTTGCAATGCATTACTATAAGCATAATGGTGGTTGCAGTGCACCACTTCAAACATAACCAGGACCATTCCATGTGCTGGAATGTTACCAATTTTAAGGGTAGTCATCAAATTAGGATATTGACCGTCAAATGTAATTGAAAAAAACGTTGTGGCCTTAAGAAAGGTTAATGATGTTTTAAGAATTAAAGTATAGATGCACTTTAAATTTGTATCTTTCCAAATGTTCTTTTTAGCAATAAATTCCTTCTAGCACTTCTAACTTGCTGCTGGATGTTTTAGCAATAACTAGACTGAAACTTACAATAATAGGCACTTAAAGTGACACTCAGGACTTAAAAATACATTCAAGTACCTCAACAAAAATGTACCTTATTTGTACATCACTCAGCTAGAGATCCTCAAATCATCTCTGAATTGGTGCTGACACTGTCCTTCCTTCTGGAGGGGGGCTACGTTTGTTCCCCATGGTCCCTGTGTGTGTTGTAAAGTGGCCACCGCTCCAAGCTCGCTCCCGTGATGGACTACAATCTCATGTTTAGTTTACTGATTTGTATTGAGATTGTAGTCCATCACGAAAGCGAGCTTGGAGTGGTGACTACTTTACAACACACACAGGGACCACGGGGAAACAAAAGTAGCCCCCCTCCAGAAGGAAGGACAGAGTAAGCACTAATTCAGAGATGATTTGAGGATCTACAGCCGAGTGATATACACAAATAAGATACAGGTTTGTTAATAGTTCAATTACTTAAATGTATTTCTAACTCCTGAGTTTAGTGTCACTTTAAAGGATAGATGCACTTTACATTGTTATCTTTCCTACTGTTCCTTTTTAGAAATAAAATCCTTCTAGGGCTTCTAACTTGCTGCTGGATCTTTTAGCAATAAGTAGACTGAAATGTATATTAATATCCACTTAAGATAGTAAAGAGGTATACGGTGTTTCTCTTAAGTACAGTCATATACATGTGTTGGCATAGCTTGTGGCATATACAGAAATGGTCAAATCATTTGCTGTATCTTTCTATATGCCACATACTGTGCTTACTGCATATTGCACAATGCTTCCCCAAATATTGGACACATTGATGCTTTTGCTGTACAGCACACGCATGCATAATATGAGAACCACAGTACAATTCTTTATTAGTCTTAAATGGCTTATGGTGTACAATTGTTGTTTGTAGATTTGTTTGGAGTTAAACTAATTCTAAACTTTGCACAATTGTCCTGTGTTTCTCTGTGGGGTGCATTAGCCATGTTCTCATCTTTTAGGCCGGCCCAAAGCTGCAGCATCCTGCACTCCATTCAGGATAAATTTAGAAAAGGGGAACTTGCCATACAATATAATGGCAGTCTACTGACACAAGGGCACAGATGGGGTTTGCCAGTGAACAGAGTACAGGCTGCAGTGATTTTGGGCAGGCTGCTTAGGCTAAAACACGATTCTTACCAGCAGCAAGGCATGGTGTCCTATATGGGGTTCTGGTTTTTTTGAGTAAGAAGAGGGGAGCATTTGGGAGGTTATAATGTAAAGTGCACTTATCCTTTCATCTTTTAGTTTATGCACTGTGGCGCTATTACATCATTGCATATGGTAAAGAGCATAACAGTTAATACAGGAGAATCATACTGTACTACTAAAGACATCTATTAGTCATATATAGTATCTCTGAATGAAGCTTAAAGGAACTATTTTTGAGCTACTACTAGAACTAGAATGCATTTGGTGGACAGAGACAATGCACCTTATTAAATAATCACAGTTAAAACTAGTTTTACATTTATACAGTCCATCGGTTCTGTCTATAGGAGGCAAGCATGAGCAATGTCAACTCAATATGAAGACATCTTACTGGTCAGTTTAAATAAATACAATCTTCCCTTTAAGTTGTTCAAACAAGCAAAATACTTTTCTTACTTTCATGTCAGCCGTATGGATGAGCTGGATGCCACAACCACGGTTTCCTATGATATCATTCTCTATGATGGTCCCATCTCCCTTGGAAGCAATACCATGGCTCCTGTTGTCATATATACCATTTCCCCTTAATTCCACTCTGCACCCTGTCTCTACATGGACACCGCTCAGTCTGTTGCATGAGATGCTGTTATTTCCAATTCGAACAAGTTGGTTACTTTGAAACACAGCCACACCACTATCATGGTTGGCATGTATGGCGTTAGCTATGATGTTCAGAGCTTCACTGCTTTTAATGTACAGCCCAGCAGCTGAAATAAAACAGATACAAGATGAATTGATGACCATAATTGGGCTGGAAATTCACGAAGATATTTATTTTACTAACTGTACTTGTAAGAAACGGAATAAATATAAAAAGGAGATCTGTGCACAGTAACAAAAATGCTGATGAGTTCTTATGTGAAAACCTGTCCAATGTCTCTGGTACTACAGTTGCATGCAGAGACACCTGACGAATCTGAATGTTGGTTGTTTGCTAGCACTGTTGTCTTTGCCTTTTTTTTGTGTTTGTGTGGGGTTTTTTCATGCATTTTCACAGTGTCATAGATGACATTTTGGCACATTTGTGGTGATAAAATAAGCAACAATTTATCCACTTTTATGGTGGTGTAGCAGTGTTGGAGGCAAGGTATTAGTGGAGAACATCTGCAATTAAAAAGGCCTGGGGTCTGCCAGGCCATTTGTTTTAATTAGGGATGCACCGATACTGATACTAGTATCGGTACCGATACCAAGTATTTGGGTGAGCACGTAATGACCCGCCTCCCGGTTTCCTGATTGGTCAGAGAGCCAGGCAGCCTAGGAACAAGTGAAGCCTGCTTCCTAGCCAATCAGTAAGCCGGGTCATGAAGTGCCGCCCGGCTTCGTGATGGGCTAGGAACCGGCTTCACTTGTTGGTAGGCAGCCTAGCCTCCCAATCAATCTGGAAGCTGGGCTGTACGTCATGACTCGCCTCCTGATTGGTCAGGAAGCCACGATATCTAGCAACAAGTGAAGCCGCCTTCCTAGCCAATCAGGAAGCTGGGAGGCTGGTCATGACGTGCCGCCCGGCTTCCTGATTGGCAGGAAGCCGGCTTCACTTGTTGCTAGGAAGCCTGGCTTCCAGACCAATCAGGAAGTTGGACGGCACCTCATGACTCGCTGCCCGGATTCCTGATTGGTCAGGAAGCCAGCCACAGCCAGGCAGCCTTGGCAAGTGAAGCCGGTATTTTTTCCTTAGAACACTGGCTTCACAGGAATTTAGAAAGCCGGGCGCCGGGTCATGATCCGCCGGCCGGCTCCTTTCCCTTGCAGGGTCCTATGTGTGACGTACGCCCGCCTCAAACCCGCTGTACGTCAATCACACATGACTATACACAGTTCTGAACCAAGCATGGCGTCACAAGGACGTGGCAATACCACTCTCAGCCGCACACTGCACAGAGATTTCCCAGCTCGCGTGACACAATCTCAGGGCAGCAGACTGAGAGCAATCGTCACGGTTGGTAAACTCTGCACATAACCCTTTACCCACCAAATGTTCACTGCCACCATGTATTTTTTGTAACGGAAACACAGACCGTGCCCAGCAAGTTATGTGACAATCTAAAACACTAAAGCCTGTGATACCGCTGTCCTCTCAGACAGGAATATGACAAGATTCACTATACAGTAGCGCTCTTCACAGGAGGCAAGGATACTTTAAGTTGATATTTAGAGCGTAGAGATAAGCCTAAGTTTGTCCTTTAATGAAAGAAACGGTGCAGAAAAATATACAGAAAAAGAGATATTGATAAAAAGAGACAAAATATATACACAACAGCAAAATAAAAGGGAATAAAAAGATAATACTCAATAGTCCTGTTTTTAGGACTTCTGACAGAGTTCAGAGCTCAAGAAGCAAAAGCAAGGTCTGAAGGGCTCTTCTTCAAGCAAGCTTTCAACAGATAATGTCCAGAGATTAAAAAGGGAACTGTTCTGCGAGGTTACGACTTCTTGATGTTTCAAAACAAGAACCTTTTTTCTAGCTACCTCTGCAGCAACTTTTTGTTAGCCCTCTAGGGGGTGTCACGGAGGCGGCTCTTAGGGCAGGGCTGGGGAGCGAAAGCAGGAGAGACGAGCCTTTATTTTACACTATCATCGCCCAATTCCAAATTATGAAATGGAGCTGATATTGTAACTCAGGTTTATGACTTTTGGGTGAATGCTGGGTCACCTGGGTCATCAACTCTACCAGACCTGCTTGTGTTTATCAACTTGTCCACTGGTGACAGATGAATGCATGGTGACATGCCTTTAATTAGGGACAGCTATAAAAGGCTTAGAGGGTTATTTGGGACTCTCGCTAGTGCTGGGCAATAAAGATCACAGACCAGATAAGCAGATCTCTGTTCTGTGAAATGTGAAGTGACCTGCAAATGACTAAATGAAAGCCTGCACTTGCTCTGAACTGGGGGACAAGAGAATGCTATATTTAATATTATCAGACTCAACCCCTACTATTGTCACACTATGGAGCCACACTTGTGTGTGCTAGTAAGATGTGCGTGTCTCCACAACACACACAGTCACAGCATAGCAAGCCTCTCCCTCTCTTTCCTTTTTCCATCTACAAGCTAGTAGATGGACAGTTGCAGCCGCTGCTCAGTCCCTTGTGACCTTGTCTATAATTTTTCCCATCTGGTACAAAGCAAATTCAAAATGCTGTATTTTTCAATTTTGCACATTTTCTTGTTATGCGCCACTAAAAAGCAACAGGAAAAACAAATGAAAATGAGGGCCTAGGTGTAAGAGGAGTGTCCTAAAATCTTTGTTTTCTTTGGGAGTATCTCTTATGTTCAAAACCCTCAAGTGGTGAAAAAACAGTATACCAAATAAAATTCTTAAATGTCATCCTTTACAAACAGAATGTGAACATTTTTAGGTTGGTAAGCTAGTCAGTCAAGTTAAGTGCATAAAGACACTGGTCTGGGCATCTAGGCTTAAGTGACCTGTGGCCATGGAGTGGTTAAACACAAGGGGTCATATAATTATCAATAACATGGTCCTTCCACCGAAGCAGTTTTACAGGTCATGTCCAAATCGTCCTGATAAAAACATCAGTCGAGTTACAAACCCGCAGATGCTGCAGTGCCGTCCGTCCGTTTTTTTACTACGGGCGGACGGCAAGAGGTTAAGATGCTTGAAAACCTCCATTCATCTTTTTTATTCCCCAATGCAAAAAAAAGAATGGTAATGCAACAGACACAAGGGTTGCGAGTTAGCTCTCTAGCTTTGCATGCTGAGAATTGTAGTTCCACACAGGTTTTTTCGCTACAAGTACCTGGCAGGAAATGAAGGAAAAACCTCTTCCCTTGTCAATTGATCATGTGAGGAGGACACAATGTGAAGGAATAATTTTCCTTCATCAGAGGACGCTCAGTTTGAGGAGAGGTCTGCTCCTTTCCTTTTTACAACGTGTGCCTCTTCAGCCTTACTGGTCTAGGGCCCTGGAGAGCCTAGCTGCCTCCCTTGCCCTTATTGGTACTGCAGCCCTGCAAGTCTGCTGTTATTTGAGATCTGGCACACGTGCATTTATATTCGGTAAACACCTAGCCTCATGCCTGAGGCTTAAGGGCAGGTTCACACCATTTTCCAGATCAGATTTGGACCAGATCCAAAAACGCAGTGCATTGCTATTTGCCATGATTTTGCCTCTTTCGAGAGGTTTTTTTTTTCTTAGCTTAAAATGGTCTTACACATGCGTTCCAGTGCAGTTGGATGCGTTTTTGTCTGGTCTGGAACGGACTGCGCTGGTGTGAACAGAGACCAGAACAGCATTGGGATACATTTTGGGCCCTGAAACAATCTGGTCTGGTCTTTATAGGCTAACATGTTATTAAAGATGCAAGCTTTTGTTACAAAAGGTACCTCTAAACTACAAATGTCCTGCAGTGATCGTTAGCGTACCCAGTATAAGGCTCTACTAGAAAAATATGTTAAAACTGACATACCCATCTTATCTGAAGGAGACTGGGAGGAGGTCTGTCTGTGATCAGCATCATATTACTAAGGACTAACTAGAATTCCAGTGCAGTATGAAATATTGGAAAAGCCGATCCATGTTGGCTAATAACAGATTGCTATACTAGGCTACATATCAGGAGAGCTCTTGTGCTCTCTACTCCCAGGGAGGCCTAAACAAAAGGGTGTTCATTCAAGGAATTTCAAGTATTCAAGGAACAGAGACTGTTCACTTTGCAACGTTTAGCAAAATGGATGAAGCGGTGTTCACTTCAATCAACCTATCATGTTCTTGGAAAAATATTTTTTTTCTAATTTCCTATACAAATGATTGGGTAGTCACAGGGAACATACACTTTATTTGCCATCATTCACTTTGCAAAGTAAACATAATCTTTGCTGAGTAAAACCTCCTCTGCTCCAAACCTGTTCCTGTCTACTCAGAGTACCATGAAAACTCTAATAACTGAGCTGAGTAGCAATGGGTGTGTTGACCAGTGATCGAAAAAAACATATTGGAAAATGAAAATATTTGATAAATGATGTTTATGGGGTTGTCTGTCAGGGCCTTTCTATGCTCGCTACCCTAGCATACATGTTTATGGACAAGACTCAAGGCAGTACTTTCTGAGAGTCTCTGCATAGCTTATGGGCACCTTAAAGTGTATGTAAACGCTAACAATGAACTCCTATGTGCTTTTGGCTGTGTTGCATACACATAGTTACATAGTATTTGAGGTTAAATAAAGACACAGGTCCATCAAGTTCAACCTATTGTGTGTATGTATGTGATTGTGCATGTGTGTATACGAGTCCCCGTGTGATCTTGTTTTTAAAGAGTATGTTATGAGGAAGGTGTCTAAATGCTTTTTGAATGATGCAATACTCTTTATACCACTGCTCTAACTGGAAAGAAGCCCCTACGCCCCTTGTGGTTAAATCTTTTCTCCACCAATTTTAGGTGGGGGCCTCTAGTCTTCGTTACGGAGGTTACTGTAAAAAGTTTATTGCTGATGTTGCCATCACCATTGAACATCTTGTACATGAAAATCATGTCCCCTTTTAATCGCCTCACTTCTAGCGTGAACAAGTTTAAGTTTAATAACCTTGTCTCATAGCTTTGGTCCTCCATCCCCTTAGTTAGTTTAGTTGCCCTTCTCTAGACTCTCTCCAGTTCCAGGACATCCTTTCTGTGGATTGGTGACCCAAACTGGACCGCATACTCACATAACCACTGAACCTTCACATTCTCACATAATTCATTCCCACAGCTACCTCATGTATCATTTCCCCCTCCTCTTTTAGATTGTAAGCCCTCAGGGGCAGGGCCCTCCTTACCATCTTGTCTTGAATTGTATTGTAACTGTTATGTCTTCCTTATAATGTAAAGCGCTGCGCAAACTGTTGGCGCTATATAAATACTATGTAATAATAATAACAATACTCCAGATGAGGCCGAACTAGTGATCTATAAAATGGCAAAATGATTGCCTTGTCTCTACAGTACATTCCCTTTTTAATACAATACATTACTCTGCTAGCTTTGTTTGCTGCCGCCTGGCATTGCATGTTATTATTCAATCTGTGGACTACTGTGGCCCCCAGATCTTTTTACATTTCTGACTTCCCATTAATGTGTATTCCTCTTGCCTATTTTTAACCCCAATGTGCATTACTTTGCATTTATCAACATTAAACCTCATCTGAAATATAGTTGCCCACTCCCCTATTTTATCCAGGTCCTCCTGTAGTGTTATAATGTCTAAGCCCCAGTCTATTACACTCCCAATTTTAGTATCACCATTGAACGCGTTTTGTGATATTTGTTTGAGGAGTGCAAAAAAAGCCATTGATCATGTCAGAAAATCAGAGGTGACTTTTGAACAATTCTGGACTATGTTGTAGAGAATAGGATAGGGGAGAGTTTCATGGTTTATACAAGACAAGTTGTCACCACTCGGGCCACAAAAATGCTGTGTTGTGTGGCCACAAAAGGACTTAAGAGCTCAGTGGATTTCTGGTAGATCAACAGGTATTTTTCTGCACTTGCAGGGCCTTTAAAGAGATAACACAGGGGGAAATGTGCATGCATTGTAGAGCTGTGCTGCGTATTTTCTTTTATATTATGCCCTGACAAAGAGTCATATTGACAATAACATCCCATTAATGAATAAGCCTTTCCTGTTGTGACATTGTTATGTTCTCTAAACAGCACTATGAATTACTTGTTCCCCACTTGCAATTAAAGTTGTTTGCTTAGAATTCTAGGCAGCACTGTGAGTCAGTGTTTATCTATTTGCTGGTCTATTAGTCTGTCCCTGTTTTTCTCTTTTTTTGCTTTTACATTTCAACTTGGATCATAGCAGGTGTGGGGGTGGAATATAAGACACATGCATATAGACTATTAGGAGTGTGGCTTGATCTCAGGATAAAAATCATTTTCAGTAGCATCTATCTTTTTACATATATTGTGCATCAAAAGCACGGTATAGGATCAGACCAAACAGCGGAATTGTATGGTGATTTAACAAAAGCTTGTTTCTGCAGGGTTGGATTCCCTTTGGGATCACTTTGCTAGGATCACCTTTCTTACAACAAATGTGTGAATTCATTTTTTTTTGTAAAAAAACACTTTTAGAAATGTAAAAAACTGGTGGAATAATATTACATGTAAAATCACACTCCAGAACTCTAACTTTTGGTGACAGAGAGCATCCAGCAAACATGGGATGGTTTAGGTGGACCATGGCACATTCCTTTTGCCAGTTCTGCCAACAGCAGTACTGAAAATACATTCCTCGCTACATGACAACAGGCCCCACCCCTTATAATAAGGTGTGGTTTCGCTACTCCAACTATGACTCCCCAACACTTATTAGAAGGAGATGGCTGAAGTGTCTAAGAAAGGAACCCTTTCTCAATTATTCTTTAGAGCAGCGGTTCCCAAACCTGGCATATTTAGGGGTACTTGAACATATTTTAATGGCAGAAAAAGTCTGTGGCAGTGGGGAGTTGGGAACTAGATTGTGTGCAGAAGGTTTGCAGAGTAATCCTTTACCTACGTTTTCGGACACTCATTCAATAGTGCCACCTGCCAACACATCAATCAGTCCCCAGTTGAGTGATGTGCACTCCGCTTCTCTTTAGAGCTTATTCTACATTCTGCAACGTGCAATGAAGAGGACAGAGATTGCAAGTCCTGATTCGCACCAGAATCTGTTTAACCCAGCTCTCCTCAGGGTTGCATTAGCTGCCTCCATCAGATGAAACATGATTCACTCTGCAGCATCAATCCCCTCCACTACACTTTCCATGGAGCACTGAAAGTGCAGCTGCAGCCCCCCTGAACTGCAATATACACGTGAGCCATATACATCCAACATTGCCCAGATACCCATCATGGAGGAATGCCTTGCCTTTCAACCCACAGTGTATCACAGACCACACCCCAAAGAGGCCCCAAGATAACACTGGACACACCACAGCAAAATGGCATACCCCAAAGAGCCCCCTACTGCAGCCTCCCAGCTCCCTCCCTCCTTCCACTGACACCAACACAGTGGCATTTGAGCTCCTCCTACTGTTTGTACAATTTGGTTACACACATCATTTAGTGTGCTAAATGCTTCACTATTAGCCCCGCCCCCAATAAGGGGTACAATTTATACAAATGGGCAGTTAAGGGGTACACAAGTATAACAAAAAATGTTAGGAACGATTGTTTTAGAGGGTGCTGCCTAAGACAAAATCCTCAACTTGTCTCATGACAGGTATGGTCTTGGGTGGATGTGTATCTATTTAGGCAGTTCAGAAATCTAGCTCAGGTGTATGTGTGCTTGGCATGTACTCTCTAACAAGTATAAGCACCACTGTTTCTTACTGTCGTTACACATTTAAAATAGAAGTTCATAGTTGCAACAGATTTTTTAGCCTGTATGGAAGGTTTACATATTTACACCAGAATTCTGTTTCTACCTATGTGTGCTGCAGTACCATTATCACTAGCCAAAAATTCAAAATGGTTTTTAATGTCACTGCATATTCTTCTATTTTGTTCACCAAGTGTGTAAGGATTCAGTGAGCCAGGGCAGCACTCACACAGTTCCCATAATGCAATGGTGCATCTTGTGTTTCAATACATTTACACCTCTATTTCATGTTGCTGGTTCTGACCCATCCACCTCCTCACCTTACACTTGTACCCAGATTTTCTGTCTTTGGGGAGCTCCAGAGAGGAGGTCTGAGATCCAGAGCAGGAAAGCAGAATGCTGGTATATATACAGCCTAGTAGACCAAAACGTTGCGCTAAGCCTACTAGAAAATGCAGTCCAGTAATTGCATCTCTCCAACAATGAGAGTAAAGGATGATCAAAAGGAACTGCCTCTAGAAAGTGCTCATAGGCTCATCTTTTGGCATTGATGCTTGCAAAGTATGGCAAAGGGATAGTGAGTAAACAAAGGCCATAATCACTAAGCAAATTTGCAATTACATGCGGTGTGCAAAGCATTCTGCTGTTTTCAGATGTGCCCGCTCGATCATTAACTTGAATGGGTAAAAGCTGCTGCTTGTAAACGGAAGGTTTGGGATTCCTGCTGCAGGAATTCGGAAGTTCCTGACGCAGAAATACCAAATTGCATCTACTTGGTAGGTGCGATTGTAGTCTAAAAGTGAGGAAGAATCTAACATTTGTTCGTTGTCAGTGGAACAGGAATAGAGGGGACATCCTTCAATGAGGGCATTTGTTCAGGTAATATACATAATAGTCCCTTTCTTTGGGGAAATCTGTTGTGACTTCCTGTTGTGTCCGAAGACAGGAAGTGAGGAAAAATCTTACCAATGGTACAGTGGCAGCAAGAAAATCCCAAAATAACTGGATAGGGGTTTTGATAATCCCATACTCTATCCAAATCTAAAATATTGCTTTAGATATATGTTAATGAAAGATCTAAACATACAGTTCTTTTGTTAATCTCATGTATGAAATAAAGACATGATTTATCACAGATGACAGTTTACAATCAAAACGTATTTCATTGTAACAATGAGAAACTGCAAGAAGCACAATAATAATTAGAAGCATAAATAATTATTTAGAAAAAAAGCTGTCAATTCACACCAAAACAGACACCACTATGTTCTGTCCTCACCTCCATTGTGGTTAATACTATTTGATTCAACAAGTGCCACATTTATTGGCCTCCGTGAGGAGAAGCGATCATCTTCACTGTCCAGATCGTTTTCCCAGTTGGCTGCTTCTCCTTCGTCATTGAAGTTTTCATTGCCAGCCTGGTTAGCTGGGTAGTCACTAGCATCATCTTTGCGGCAGAAAACAGCTACCCCATAAATGCTGTTGTGACCTATCTGGTTGCTGGTGATGTGTGGAAGGCTGGATGACATAATCCATACTCCGCAGCCTTTGTTGCCTAGAAAAGAAAGTAACAGCATATTTTGCACTTTCATTGCCAAGACAGTAATAAAAAATATCCAATACATGTTAAATGAATATCAGTCCTCATTGGCAGCAGTCTGTAAAGTTTCAAAGGAAACTAAAAATCTTTTACCAAATGCTGGTGCAAGTCAAATCCCAGCGCAGTAAGTTTTCAAGGGGCAACAAGTAACTTCTGGCATTATTATTTTAGCACAACTTTTTCTCAAGTACCTATAGAGAGAATGGTTATCACAATCCTTTACGCCATGTTAAACCTGCATCTGCTCAGAGTATAGGCATACTACTGTGATTTTTCAATGAACACATGAAAGGCTGCCATGCTGGATGTGGTCAAATGGTTGTAGCTGGCCACCATATACCTGCTTCTATATGTTCCAGCTGTTAGTTTACTACAGGTATAAAGGCATTGTTTTCTTTTTTTTTAACTTTAATTGTAACTACACCATTAGAGCAGTTACATTTATATTAGAGCACCACCTTCGCCATAAATCTCCCTGTCTCCAATCCAGGGAGATTTTGTCAACTAGATTGTCAAACTGCATGTCAAAAATCCTCCTTGCAGAGGGCATGTGTGGATCTGTCTGGAAACATTTCTTAACAAGTGATCTAGTCAGCAATATCTTACTGGATCGTGGACAGGTAAATACAAGACTGAAAGTGAGGGCTAGGGGGATTCTCTGATATACGGTGCACATTAGCCTATACACTTTAAGTATGTATAGACTAATGTGTATGACTTTTCTTAAAGTGATCACCTCTTTAGAAAAGCCACTGTTTACAACATACGCCCTGGTGCAGTTCCCCATATCACAAGTATACCTCACCGTGAACATTTATTATCAGTATCACCTTATTTTTCACAAATGTTTTCCAAGCAATCCCCTGTGCTAATAAATAGTAAAGTTTAACTCTTGACATTTCTTTTATATACGGTATTAATATTATATACTATATTAATTACTATTTATATACACTGCCTGGTCAACAAGAAAGTCACCACTTGGATTTTGGGGCAGTGTTGTGATGTGGGGTTACTTCAGTTGGTCAGGTTCAGCAACATTATGTGCCCAAAAAAAATGAGGTCAGCTGCCTACCTGAATGACCAGGTTTTTCCTTGGATTTTACCTTCCCTGATGGCACATTGGGCATATTCCAAGATGACAATGCCAGGATTCATTGGACTCAAATTGTGAAAGAGTGATTCAGGGAGCATGGGACATCATTTTCACATATGGATTGTTCACCACAGAGTCCAGAGACAGAGACCTTAACCCCATTGAGAATCTTTGGCATGTGCTGGAAAAGACCTTAGTGAAAATGAATGCAACTCTGGATGGAAATAAATGTTGTGACATTGCATAAGTTTATCGAAATGATGCAAATGCGTGCTATAATCAAGGCTGAAGGTGGTCCAAAGAAATATAAGAGTGTGACTTTCTTTCGGCCAGGCAGTGTGTATATTTATCATTTATGAAATCTAAAAACTGATGTTATTAACTTACTTTACCAATCAGAAATACCGTTTTTACCTAGAAGTAGTACAGTATAACTAAAATTTGGCATATTATATATATTATGTGGCCAGTGCGTGCAGCATACCCGGAATATGACATTTTGATTTTAAATATATATTGTTGTAATGTGAATTTAATATGTGTATTAAATATGAGACGTCACAATAAATCAATTAAAAAAACATACAAAATATCTGAAGGTGTGCATGACTGTCCGGTACAGTTTGACTTAAAGGGTATCTATGGTCAAACACTAAACATAAATATGTATTTCTATATTGAATTTCCTTAAGTTCTATCCCACTCCTAAAAACCATATCCATATAGAGGTTTGTAAACTTACTTATTGAAGATGTCCATAGGATGTACTTCCTCAATGCACTGACACAATTTCACAATTTGCCCTTAAATATGTACTTCCATGTGTCACAACATTCATAGAGCCTGTCTTCTGAACTAAAACTCAGTGTCTGAACAATGTAACATTATCATTGCTTGCTGCAAGCAATGCATTGTGGGACGTAGTCTTGAGAAATCAAGATTGTATCACATCAAGCAGCAGGTAAAGAAATGTACTGCACACTGGGAATCCAGTATGTTGATGAAAGTGATGGACAGACAGAAGGCAGCACTCACTACATAGAAGGGATTTGTCTAGTAAGCTTTGACTGCATTATCAAAACAAGTCTAGTTTGTATTCCTATTACAATTCTGATGTTATAAAAGGATAGTATATGCTGGGACTTTACATCTCCTTTAATACAGAAAAATAAGCAGGTTTCCTGTCCAATATTCCTGTGTGTACAGCAACAGAAATAAAACATCTTCAATGAGTTTTCACAGTTGGCTTGTTATAATCTAAAACCCCAAGGGACTATTATAATATAACAAGCAAAACTAATCAGAGATTTTCTATGTCTAATGAACCTCTTAACTACCATGCAACTGTGAAAGCATCCCTGTAATCCTGACCTCACTGTACAATAGACTCTACAAGTACTGTGCATCTGGCAGATAACGTTGACGTTCAATGCTTGTTTCATTCACTTAGAGCACATTAGAAAAAAATAGTATCATACTCATTAGTCAGGTCAAATACACTAGTTTTAAAATGCAATCAAGGGAGATATAAAACAACAGTTAATCCAGGTATACATTTGTAAAAAAAAAAGAAGAAGAAGTTGTATTCTATTGTACATACAATTAAAGCAGAACTCCAGGCAAAAGTTTTCCTAACCCTTGCAGTGGGGTACCCATGCACTGCAAGGGTTAAGTGCTTGTTTTCATCTATGTACTAAAATAAAAAAAAAAGCTATACTCACCTGAACCTCGGAGCCGGCTGGCTCTCAGACTTCAGAGTCCAGTCTCTCTTCCCCTCCACTCCAACGGTCTTAGGCCCCGTGAGTCATCACGTTCTACACTCATGAAGGGGAAGACGGGCTGGAGGGAGTGCTGTACCAGCCTGCTGGCTGTTATGTTTCGGCGAGTATAACTTTGTTATTTTTGCACCTAAACCAAAATGAGCACTACCCCCACACTGCAAGGTATAAGAAAAGTTTTGCCTGAAATTCTTATTAAGGGTTAATAATCTAAGCCAGTCGGTGCTTCGTTTGCACAGCACTGTCAATCTAAAGACTAATGTGCACTGCAAATTGTGATCAGTTTAGGGTCGGGTTTGTGCTATGCTTTTTTTCCCCTCTATGCAATTGAACCCTTTTACTGCCAGACCAATTTCTTAAATTTTTTACACGTGTTAAAATCCACAATTTTGGCTTGAAAACTACTTTAGAGTTGAATCAGTTTTATTAAGAAATATAAACTATCACAGACTAAGAACATGACTTGAGAGAGTGTAAAACATAAAAACAACGGTCCAGTAGCGATCGCATATGAAACCAAAAGGTGATCAAATAAGTATTCAAAATATCGTACAGGAATGGAGTCCGAACTCAAGCTAGGCTGGTATCTTTAGAAATACACAATAAAAAGGGCGAAGGAGAATGAGTTCAGAGCTCCACACCAAGTCCCTATGTAAGCATGTAACATATCCACATGAAAGATATGGAACATGGAAATAATAGTCCTGACAAAGACAAAAGTAAGACTGATAGGGTAAGGCCGAGAGGGGCCTACCAAGAAAGAAAGCAAAGAAGAAAACAGAAATAGGCATAGAAGAAAGGGAGGGATAGTAAAAGAGGGGGTTTAATCTGGTCCTGGGAGATTACATGCAGCAAGGTCCTGTAGAGAGATCCGTGAACCGGGGTTCTAAGGTGAGGCTTGGCGAGTTATAAAAAGGAGGTCGAGAAATGCAGCCACACACTCCATTGGGTCATAAATTTAAAAAAAGTATCAGTATCTGTTGCCATGAGTTCCTCCATCCTCATGATATTGTTAACAATACATTACTAGACCCAGAGCGGGAGGGGAGGGGTCATTGCTTGCTTCCAGAAGAGGGGAATAACGTGTCGGGCCGCGGCCAATATATGTTTAAATAGGTTATTCCTTTGAGCAGTCCGCGGTCCAGGTAGAAGGGATAGCAAGGTAATTTGAGGAGAAGGGTGCAACATGTCCCCATATAAACCGCACATTTTTTTTCCCAAAACGGAAAGATCAAGTGACAGTCCCACCAAATATGAATGTAGGTGCCACTTAGCTCCTTGCAGCGCCAGCACACCTCTGGAGAGTTAGGGAAGATACACCGGATCTCTATACCAAGAATCTTATAGTTCTTCTCTTGGGTGTATGAGGAAACAGAAGACTTATGAGTCCAATAAACGTTTGGATAGATCAGTGTGCCACTGGGTCTGGAAAGTCAGCAGCGGTTTATGGAAAGCTTCCCGTATCATCCCGTAAATGACTGATAGTGTATGGCGTACAGGCCTCATGGAGGTGACCAAGCCCTCAATCCCTTCACGACTGAGGGCGTACAGTGTACGTCGCTGGCACATCTCCCCCGACCGCC